AGCATTCGCTGAAATGAGGGGGCAGGGTAGTGTCGCTGTCTCAAAAAGAGCAAATTGCAGGCTAAGATAATTTAATTTAGTGATCCCAAGTATGCAACCAAAGGGCAGTTTTTAATATGAGACCAAAACAGAGACTTTTTTAATTTACTGGATCAAGATTGTTTGAAAAAATATTTTTATTCACTCTCTGATCTGACGAAGTGCCATGAAAAGTTTCTTGGGCATAGGTACATTAATCAGTAGGTTTGATTTTTTTTTTACGCAGACAGACGAAAGTGAACAAGCTATAACAGAAAGCAAACATGCAAGAACATTTTGACATCAGTCTGACTTAGTACTGATGATCTAACCCACTACAAAACAGACCCAAAACCTAATAGTACATAATAATAGCTAAGACTAGTTTGTGAAAAAAGAAACTACTTATGTGTAACTAGTAGGGTGGTAAGCACATACCATAATATGTGAGGCAGCGTGGTGGAATCAGGCTCTCGTCAAAATAATCAAAAGGAAGAAACTTGCATATTTTCGCAGCTTTAGAATTTTTATCGAATTTTTGTTTTTTCGGTCAACACCTTTCATGCCCATTAAAGAACTCATTTCTGTGTGTGTTTTTCTGAAAAACGTTGATTAAAGGCTCAACAAATGTAAATTTTCAGATACCACGGACTCTTAAGCTAAGTAAATAACTAATCTTTGGGGGCCATTTTCTCACCCATTTACCTCTGAAAACGGGTGACCCCCACCTCCTTCTTTCGCAAATATCTCGACTTGTATTCTAGATAAATGGATATTTTTTCCATCCAAATAAAAACAAGTGAACAAGCTTTAAGTTAATACCAATAACCCTATATGTCCAAAAATTGACGAGAGCCTGATTCCACCACGCTGCCTCACATATATATGCAACTAAATCGAATGCGTACAAGAGAAATAAAACAATGCCAGAGAAATGTCAGAAGGGCTGAGAGTGTTGGATTTACGGCCGCTTATAGATCACCTTCTTTCCTGGATTAAAAAAACAATCTATTAGCATCTATCTATCAGTATCAGTATGCTTTGTGCACAGGTATAGGCAGAAGTACAATACTTTATAAACATATGCATGGGTGCACTTTTAACTCTTGTAACTATTTAAAAAATGCTATGTAAATCGATAGTAAAGAAAACCTTTTCTTAAATTACATTCCCCAAATTTCACAAGAATATCAATAAATTTGTTAATTCAATTAGAAGTGCAATGTCATTAGCATTAACATTTCTTTAAAAAAAAAAAAAAAAAAAAAGCAAGCCCCCCCCCCCCCCCCTCAAAGAAAAAACCCAAACAAATTACACATGTTGACCATATATACGAATATTTCGCCAGTTGCTTGCTGTGACTTTTTTAACATTCCATCAAAACAGTTTAAACCATACAGACGGTGGTCAGATCTTTTAGCCACGGCAAAAACGCATTGATAGGGAAACATGACTTTACATAATACAATATTCACAAAAGAAAAACATGTACATTGCTAGGTCGGTATTTATAACAAAAGCTCGTACAAAATGGCAATAGAAGAATAATATCAGCATAACGAATTAGGCAATAAACATGGTGGGATTTTTATGATCTCTTTAAAACCATTTAGTTTAGCTTTACTAGGCATTTCACGGCACTTGCGACCCAAAAAGTCGTCGAAGTACAAAGTTTAGAGGTGTTGCTAGAGAGCAATATGAAGAAGAGAAGAGGAGAGACAAGGACGGCAGATGTTCGATTTAAATGAAGTAGTAAACTACAACAGAGCACCCGCCAACCACTCATCTTTAAACCTGGCTTGATCAAACTAACACCTGAACTCATAACTCGCGTGCTGAGTGCTAACTTCTACCATCTCCAATTTCTATCTTTTGGAGGAGTGTTTATCACAGCTCGTTGCCTCAGAATTTCAAAGTTCTATTTGACACTTTTTGTTGTTTTGAGTTACTAAGACCACAAGTTCAGGAACCACGGTTTTCATAAAAAATGTAAATTTGGGATAAGGGTTTGTGGAAATAAGGCATGAGGTATGATTACTGCCTTTTATATTGTTAACAGACAAAAATATCCATCTGAGAACTATCAAACATTCTATATAACTATAAGCCAGTACAGTGAAACCCAGATTCAACGAATTCAAATTCAACCAAAACTCAGATTCAACAAAATTGAAGGTCAGGCCTGACGACGTTGTTGAATCTGAGTTCCACTGTACTCTATAAAACTATAACACACTAAAAAAAATGATCAGAATAAAGTTGCATTGAACACCATGCCACACTCCGTTTTCTTTTCTTTCCTATCTTCACTGAGCCGAACTCCCAGGGAGCAAATCATACTGTAGAGCCAGCTCTAACAAGCACCGGTCCAAGATAAACACGTGTACAAACTACCACTTCCCACTTTCCCCTTTGCATTTTATTTGATAATGACTCAGTGCAAACATTTGCACAAGTGACGTTGTATCAAATTTCCCCCTTCGCGTTTTTATTTTAAAAATACACTGTGCAAGCCACCCGCCTGTCTAAGACAACCACTTTTCTCCTCTACAACGGGTGGCCATCTTACTTGGACATTGACAGTAACTGCAAACATTTTGACGCCCCCATCGACATGGTTTAGATTAATCTAAAAGTAAATAAAAGTAGGTTTTACTTCAACTCTGCCTGTAAGAGCGGACACTGGCTAAATATGATACAGGGCTCTGTAGAAAGACGGGGATACTGGAAGATACAGACTACGTCAGGTCTTTGTTTACTACGATTCAACAACATAACTATGATATGGTGAGAGAAAGGCGCGGGTGTTCCAGTGCTTGGTACAGAAAGGGTTAACAAGCAACCACTAAAGGCATCTGTGGTGCAGCAGTTAGGCCCCTCACCGTCGCACGTAGAAGGCTTGAGTTCCTCTCACGTAGGGAAAGACTTTTTGCTGAGCTGCTCATTATCTCAGTCTTTGTGCTGGGACGTTGTACCACTCTCCGCCCAGGTAGGCCCCGAAGGTTTGAAACCTGACTCTTTAATTCTCTGCCCAGGTTGGCCCAGAAGATTTGAAGCCTAGCCCCTAAATAAACTGTAAGCTGTGTCGATAGGTGTATAAAAAGCTATATTTAAAACAAAACAAAACAAGAGACGGGTTTTCCCCTTGCATCTAAGCAGAAAAACGAAATACTTGATAAAATGTTTCCACCACATGTCAATCGAACACGCATCAGTTTCGTTTAAGTTCACTGGCTACATTTTACACATAAAACCTGTGAAGTCTACAGAAAACTTCAAAGTTTAAGGTCGTATATGAGGCATCGTGGTGAAATCAGGCGCTTGTCAAAATAACTAAATCAAAGAAATTGGCATTTTTGTTAAAATGATGGGCACATTTTTTTCTAATTTTGTTTTTCTGGAACAACACCCTTTATGTCTATTTAAAAACACATTTTTGTGTTGATTTTACTTTTTTTTAAATAAAAAAAAAGGCAGTAAATTTTCAGTTCCCAAGGACTCTCAGGTTATGGAAGTTACCAAACTTTGGCGGCCATTTTCTCGCTAATTTTACCTGAAATCAGGCAACCCTGACCTCCTTCAATGGCAAATATATTATTGACTTCTACTCATGATAGATGGATATTATTCACCAAAAGGAAGGCAAATGAACAGGCTTTACGATGATACCGATAATCCTATAACAACAACAAAATGATGAGTGCCTGATTCCAACTCTCCGTGACACATATTTTGATAAATTGCTACCTCAGAGTAAAAAAATGTTATCTGACGTTTTTTGCTCTTTTGAGTTACTAAAACTTTGAGGTCAAAATCAAATGCTCTATATAATTACGCTCTGTCAAAATCATAAGTTCATTCTGAGTCGTTATAAAGATATTCAATGAATTCCATTCGCAAAGCTTGAAATAGTGTAAAACTCAAAATGTTTGATGTCAAATTTCTAAAAACTAGTAACTAAGCAGACAGAATTTTGTAATTCTGAGGAAGCGAAATTTACAGACAAGGGTCAAATGACTCGGACCTAACAGTAGTCTAAGTGCTGGTCAAGCAGAGAATGATAAGTAATTGGAATGACGGTCTGTAAGAAAAAGAGCATGTAACTTAAAATAGTCAGCCTTATGTTAGCAAGCTGTTTAACCGTCTCTAAGCCCAAAAAGCAATGTTTTGGCCTCCCTTTCTATTTACGGAAAGGAGAAAATTGTTTCATTATTATAAACATTGCAACACCCACATTATCTATCTTTTCTTTCTTTTATCAAAAATTGCAATTTGAATTTCAACAAAATATTTCTTGGGAACAAATAACCGACAACAAATTAAGAAACTGCAGGGTTTTTTAAAGTCATGATTTTGGGAGTATAGTGCGTCTGAACAGCTGGTGAAACAATTTGAGTTGTTTCATTCCGTTCTTAAACACTCCGTATCAACTCATAAAAGACGGAATGGAATTGAATATAAAAATACAAATAGACAGTGGGCAAATTTGCAATCATGATAACAGACACAAGACCTCGGGGAAAAACAGCAGAAAGCCACAGAAAACTACGAAAGACTACGGCCTTTCCTTCACGTAAGCGTCCGCCATATTCCATTTTGAGAAGTGATGTTTAAACGACAGGCAAAATTCATAATAATATAGACGTCTGCTGTTCTTTCCATGTAGGACTGTTTTGTTTTACATGTTACTAGTTTGTGACTTCTTCAGGTGTCAGGTCTGGAGCAGACACTGACTATCATGGTACCTCATTTTGTCCACGTGGTTTTATACACCAAACATAATTTAGCAAAATTTGATCATTTTTTACATAATTTCTTATTATTTTCCTTAATCATTCTTTGTTAAAATTAACATAATCGAATAATTTCACATTTTTGGGCTCAGTTTGCATAATTTCAGAATTTTTCTTTCATAAAACGACGAGGACAGCCCATTCCTTCCTGTTGTCTTTCTTCTTGATCCGCTCAGTTTTTCTCTTTGTGTTATTTGTTGTAAAGTTGTTCAAGCCATCTGTATCATATTTATGTTGTTCTTTGACTACTGCAGTTTTTTAAATACCAGGAGCTGATGATTATAAGAGAGCAAGCCAAACAAAAGATAAAAACAGTTGACTCCAAAAACTGAAAACTGTGACTTACACTGTTTTACGCCTGTACTCCTTGTTTGTCAAAAGCTCCACACACAATATAAAATTTTAAAATCAAAGCACGCCTTAGTATGTTTGTTTGTTTGAGTAAAGAGAAGCACATTGACACAATAACGATCATCCAGGGCTAGGGGCGAAGCATGACGTCATTTGGCGATAAAGAAGACTAACAGGCAAACATTGTCTCATTTGCATACTCCCATCTGTGCAACGAGTGCAAATTGTCCTAGAGCGCACACGTCTTTATGGCCTATGTAAACGTGTCCGTTGCTTTCTCTTCTCCTAAAGAGAAAACCATGAATATACAACAGGATAATAAAAGCGATTTCCCATGATCCTCTTCCATCGTCTGTTGCTACGTCATCGACTGTTAGAGCTTGAGAGTCCAATCTTGTTTGTTTGTTTGTTTGTTTGTTTGTTTGTTTGTTTGTTTGTTTGTTTGTTTGTTTGTTTGTTTGAGTAAAGAGAAATACATCGACACGCGTATAAGAAGCGTTATACCTTAACAACTTTACAATTTCTTATAAGTTCTTTTTAGAGTGTGAGTGTTTATGTGTGTGTTTTGGGGGGGGGGGGGGGGGCTGCAATATTATTAAGGCATAACGCCTCTTTCAACACTGTAGTAAGGTCATTTAAGAGGCAGGATCTCCGAGTTTAACGAGCATCTCTGAAAGGACCGAGCCAGGAGCTAGGAGTCCGTGAGTAGAACGACCTTTCCATTGTCGTTAATGACGTTGGTGTAGGTGGTAGGACTGTGAAGGTGTGACCGGCGGGTGGGAGGTTTGGATGCCTCTGTGTTGAACTCCACCTCGATGTAGTTGAGTTGAGTGGGCGAGCCAGGTCCCTGTGGATGGGTGGGGGTGGGGATGGGCAGAATGATTGGTTTAAAATAGAGTCCAGTTTCGTGAAAACGTAAATGAAACTACTACTACTACTACTACTACTACTACTACTACTACTGCTACTACTACTACTGCTACTACTACTACTGCTACTACTACTACTACTACTACTACTACTACTACTACTACTACTACTACTACT